TGTGGCTTTAAGAACCAAAAACCATCTCAGTGTAGTTTTACATCTCCTCTCTCAGGCTTCTCTCTGGAGCTCTAGTAACAACAGGTCGGTGAGCCAATCAGAAGAGAGGAGGCTCTGAGCCTCTCTTCTGATTGGCTGACTGTTTTCTGAATGATCCAATAAAAAATATAGCAGATTTAAAATAAACACTCAGAGAAACAAAATCCTACAAGGTTGGATGGTGGGTCCAGGTGGGCGGGGCTTGGTGACTGCTTTGCCGTGACATCACAAAGTTCCAGAAGTCCTGACGGCTGGTTTTAAGGCTCAGTTTCTGAATACAGGCTGTGTGCATTTCTCTGTGGACTGAGGCTTTAACTGTCCAATCAATGCCCAGCCCTAATCAATNTCACTAAAAATTCATCACCCTTAACTTTGAATGTCTTAGTTGACCAAAAAAACAAAAACTGCTTAGTTAACTTGAGGGTCCTGACTTCCCATTTAAAGGTCCCATATTTTACACTTCTCAGATTTTTAAGTTTTATCCATAAGAAGATATATATGTGGCTTTAAGAACCAAAAACCATCTCAGTGTAGTTTTACATCTCCTCTCTCAGGCTTCTCTCTGGAGCTCTAGTAACAACAGGTCGATGAGCCAATCAGAAGAGAGGAGGCTCTGAGCCTCTCTTCTGATTGGCTGACTGTTTTCTGAATGATCCAATAAAAAATATAGCAGATTTAAAATAAACGCTCAGAGAAACCAAATCCTGCAAGGTTTGGATGGTGGGTCCAGGTGGGCGGGGCTTGGTGACTGCTTTGCCGTGACATCACAAAGTTCCAGAAGTCCTGACGGCTGGTTTTAAGGCTCAGTTTCTGAATACAGGCTGTGTGCATTTCTCTGTGGACTGAGGCTTTAACTGTCCAATCAATGCCCAGCCCTAATCAATCTGGCTTCACTCACAGAGGCAGAGCTGCCTGTGGAGCTGCTATATATAGACAGATAAACAGTGACACAGGCATGATGGGACACACACACACACACACACACACACACATGCAGTACACACAACACACACTCTCACAACCATTCATACAGTAACAGACCTGTCAGCACACTGTCAGGCACACCAACATTGTAAAACAAGCGCACGTTCACCGACAGGCTGGAATAAGACTCAGGAATGTGTTCTCATGCGACGTCACTGCTCTGCCACCAGCGCCGCACTGCACTGCGTTTGTGATCTTTTTTATAATGATGCAGTATCGTTTAAAACATGTGTCTGGTGTCTGACACAAGATGATATAATGACAGCAACTATACTGTGTAATGAGCTGTATTAAAACTCAAAACGGGCAACAACAGATACCGTCAAAGCAGACAGAATCTCTGCAGCTGAAACGCTGCACAGCCATGTTTGTTAATACAGTCCTGCAATATAATATGATTTAGACTAAATTAAGAAGAAGAGTAAACATTTACATTTACTTGTTAGTATTGAAACGATTTTTACATTAATTGATTGATAATTGATTAGTCAATCGATAGAAAAATAATCTATAGCATGTATTCTGATTGTGAATTTATCTTGATTGTCTCCAAACGAAACATTTGTGGATTTTCTTTTTTCTTTTTTTGTCCTGAATAGATGATAGATGACGGTGATGTATTTTCTTATATTCTACAGACTAAATGTCCAATTGATAAAACGAGAAAATAATCACCCGATCGATTGATAATAAACACAACAGTTGCAGCCCTTGATCTTGTAAAGGATTCCCAATTCCAGCAAACAATAAATCTGACATATTGACAGAAAGTTACAAAACTTCTTTAACAGAAATCTGGCAGTTTAATTTTGTCTTACTTTGGACAAACATTGAATAACATTTGAAACACTGTCCTCAGCACATTCCTTCGTGTTGGTGTCTTCTTTTAAATTCAGCATTACCTTCCATGTCCAATGTCATCAACGGGGTCGTCTCGTCTGTTCGTACCTTGTCTTGTGATCATTCACTGGACAATTTTCTCATAAAAAAATATGTTGAGAATTGTGCTTTACAGTATGTAAGCACACACCATTGGCCTCCAGCTATAGGAGGGTATAGCTCCTTAAAATACCCAGGATGCAATGTGACACGATGTCGCTTCCCCAGTATATCAGGAACAAGCATGCAGCCGCGCAGCACAATCTTGCATACACAGAGATAAGAACTTGGCGACACGTTTGTTCCTGTCGACTCTCCGCCTCGAGACGCTTCCTCTCTCCGAGTGCACGGCAGAGTTCCTGAACTACTCATGGAAATTTTTTTTATTATTTTTTTAAAAGAATGCAGCTGCCTGACCTCTTGTGTACCTTTTGCACAAGCCTGCAGTGTTACACAACGGCCATTTCCTAGCAAACACACCACATGCATTCACTGCATGCTGGGGTTTCCCTCCAGGAGATTTCCCAAGTTGGCAGCATGCACCTGTCAGAATCGAGCTGTATAATTAAGGCACATTACCAACAAACTAACACACTTCAAGGGTTTTCATAGCATTTAAGGGCTGTTGCATTGTGGTAGTGTATCTATACATACTACAACATTACAACAGATGCTTCAGTTCCCAGTTTAGGCTTCTTTATTTCAAGGTTAAAAAGTCGTCATTTCAGTAGTAGGGATTACAGTGTCACGTTATGTGGAGCAACGAGCACAGAAGTCAAATAACATTAGCAGAGGATTAAGCTACCCATCACAAACAACAAACGGCAGCAGCACCTACGTAGGTCTGTGGCTAAAACTGACACTGAAATGAAAGGCTTATAAATGCCACACACTGGGATAATAACAGTGTAATAACACCGTTTACCCACCTCTTTTATCACCACATCACCACAGCTGATTGCCATGCAAGTGTCACATGAAACTGGTTTTATCTTCCGAAAAAGTTCAGTAGAGTTTTGTTCAGTGAAATTGTGACACGTGCCTAAATACTCTTAAAACAAGGGTTGTGTTTTTATTGAATACTGTAAGCTTAAAGTTTGCTGTGAGTCTAAATAATTATTACTTTAAGGATAAAATTTTTCAGTCGCAAAATGTTTAACACAAGAAAAACATGGTGCCAGTTAAGGAATAAACTACGGTGGCCCAGAGAGCTCAACACACCACATCTTAAGAAAACAAATGCAAATAGACAAAACACTGACTAACACGTGCATGGATGTATTATAACACATTTATAAGCACTTGTCCAAGCCTTTTAACTTCAAAACTCACAAAGCATTGAACAACAACTGAGTCCCCGCGTGGTCCATCACTTTTTAGTGTCCCCTGGAAACACTTCCGTTGTGTTGTGAGTACTTGCAGCTCAAATTGATGAAGATGTTTTTTGAATTTGCTTTTGTTTTATCTATTTGCATGTGGTTCCTTAAGTTCCAGTGGTGGAATAAATTTAAGCCAATGAAACGAGGATGGAAAAACAGAAAATTAAAACTGACTGTCAGCCTGAGCTCCTCATCAACACGTGACCTTTTGTCTTCAGCTCACAGAAAAGCATCAAATGTTCAAATGTTCAAGTACAGTAGCTAACTGGCGGTTTTACAGGTTGTTTTTTTTTCTGCACATTAACTTAACTTTTCTCCTTTAGCACAAACTGTGATGAAATACCAATCAGTGCAGAGTTAAAAACAGGAAGCATGCTGGGAAGGCGGTTGTGTGAGGCACGGCTGGAAAACAGCAGCATTTACTAACGATATTATTATATGGTGCTTCAACCTTGGTCAGTCGGCAGGATTAAGTCTATACTGTATATAAATATATATGTGGTTTTTTTGGATTATATTATCATATCTTCAGGATTAGATTTTTGGGCTAATGTATTGATTGGAGGATTTAGGGTTGCAAACATGAAAGGATCCAAATAAAGAGCTGCTGGTTGTAAAGAGATCAGTACTGGACTGGACTGCGAGTTATCTGGGACAATGCCAGATTAATGCATTAATAACAAATGAGTGTCATCGCTGTCACTGTTTTGCTCAACGCGTATTAACCAGTCAGATCCATGACCAGTGTTTGATATGGGTTTGTTTTGTCACAGCAGGGGATAATGGAAAGTTCATTTCTGACATCTGTGTTTTCTGCCTCACGCTTTCAATCCAAACGTTTTTCCAGTCCTGTATTAGTAAAATGACACAGTGAGTCCTCGCTAAATGACGAGATGCAAGACCAAAAAACCCAAACTGAAGATTTCTGATTCAGTCTGCTGTGCTATAATGTGATATCATGTGGTTTGCTACGATTCAGTACGTTTCGATACCGTATGATCGCCATCTTCCTCCCGCCTTTCGCTGCCATCTTGTTTTACAGCTTGTACGTTGTTCCATTGTTTACTCTTTAGTTACTTAAATGTAGGATGTATTATAGTATCAAGTACAGTCATAGAGAGCTTTGAATGCAAACTGCTCTGAAACAAGATTTCCTGGCAAAGGCACTGAGAGACTGGTAATCTGTTGATTGTGTTTTTGATTAATCATTCAGCCTATAAATTGTGAAAAAGATGGATTTCAATTTTGCCAAAAAATACTCGGCAACATCTTGAAATCACTTGTTTTGTCCAACCAACAGTCCATTACCCCAAAATATTCAAAGAGAGAAGGAAATCCTCATATTTGAGACTTAGTTAATCATTAACGAAATTGTTTGTGATTAATTTTTTTGTCGATTCGGCAAACAATTAACTTATTGATGAGCCCCACCTGAAGAATTATGAGCAACAATGTGCTGTACAGGCGGATATCACTGTGCTTTCATCGCTGTCAATAGGCAGGATTAAGTGCTGCTTCCAAGTGATTTTTGGATTATTTCAGTAAAGCATCAGGATTACATTTTCAGGATGAAATGAGATAAATAAGCTGTGGAACACGGCACTGACTGAACAAATTCCTGGAGGATGGGATGTTGACATGTTTGCTCTACTGTGTTCTTTCTCCGCAGAACTCCCAAGTTTCTCAGACCCTCACATTCCTCTAGTGGCTCGTGAGATCATGCAGCGAATGATCCGCCAGTTCGCTGCCGAATATACCTCAAAAACTACTCAGGACGACCTGCCCCTGCCCAACGGCACCATGAAGGACCAAAGCCTGCCGAGAGTGGCGTCTCTGGCCCCGGCCCCTTGCTCCCCGCCCGGGCCCCTGCCCGCGCCAAGCTCCCCTCCATCGTCTGCCTCCTCCTCCCCATCCCCAACCCCGGGGCCAGGCCTCAGCCCCACCTCTGCTAACGCCGCCACTGCCGCTGCTGCCGCCTCAGCACCCACCTGCACCCAGAGCAGCAACGGTACGGGAGCCAGTAACGGCGGAGGGGGAGGGGGTACGGCTGCTGCCTCTGCACAGAATCCCGTCCTCAGCAAGCTTCTCATGGCCGACCAGGACGGCCCGCTGGACCTCACCGTGAAGAAGAACCAGGTGGACACAGAGCCCAGCCAGCAGGGTGAGAGCTATAACACACTCGCTTTTGTCACTTATGGGGACATTGTGTCTAAGACATGACCACACCACGTCTAAACCAGCTTTTATTTTAAAACTAACACAAAGTTCTTGACACTTAAAACAACGTCTTAACCCCAAAAATAAATCAACAACCTCATCGCACAAGCTTTTTGTCCCTGGATACGACAGTCCCCTCAATGTGCCTGTGTAACCACAGTTCTCACATTGCTGTTAATACAGCTGCACACACACATGTTTATTAGGAGCATGTCAACTGCACTTCATCATATGTAATTACATTTTTGAAATAGTTTGGTGGTAGTCCATCTGAATTCAATTTCTATAAATAATATAATTATTACAAAATACACAAATAACAACAGCATTTTGCAAACACACAAGAAAAAATAGATATAAATACAAATGCAAAAAATTCAGATTATCAAAATGATAGCTAATAAAGACGACTTTTTGAAGAGACATATTTGCTGAAGGGAATCACATGTTTTTACTCTTTTTAAATTGTCACATTTATGAAATTCAGCTGTTAAGAAAATGCATTAACATATTTAACATAACATAAAAGTTTATAGAGAGTTTGTTTTTGTTTGTTTTTGTTAGCTGCTGTTGCGCATCCAATGATAAAACTCTGGTTTATATAAAATATCTAATCACCTTGACACTGTTAACAGACAGATTATTGAAGAGCTGATTCATTTTCCACACATGGAGGCTCCAGTTCAACGCGTACACATTCGGCTCATGAACAGATAACTGAAAAGCTATCAACTTTTGGATTGAGCGCGGGCAGCAATACGCCGAGCTCTGAAATGTAGCTCAGGACTCAATCTCCGTTTAATCAAACTAAACCAGCAGGTGGTCGGCGCTTCCATCGTGGGTTGAAGCGACAGCTCACTGTTTCAACCAGCCACCACAATGTGACCAGTCACCCACTTTTAATACCAGCTTTTTGGAATCTGCTTATAGTAAGCCTCCTTAATTTTTGCAAAAAAGATTTAGGCATTTACATCCACCGCATGCTCACATGTTATCTCCCTCCCTCTCTCACACACACACTCACACACACAAACACAAAACACCTTTTAGATGACTTCTGACAGATTATCCTCAAAGCTGGATCATATACACGCACTCGTTTAAATTACATAGTAGATGCACTTTCAGGAAAAATTACAATTTTTAATGCTCCAGGAATCAATTTCTTTTACATTATCAATGAATCAAATGACTACATTGAATGTGAAAGGGTGTGATAATGAATTTACAGAGCTATGCAGCTCTTCTGAATTTATTTAACCTCTTTTTGCTCATAGTTTTGGCTTTATGGCACGTTGACTGTGTGGTTTCAGCCCCACTCATTCTCAGTCAATCAATCAAACGTTATTTGTGTAGCACTTTTTAATCCAGGTTACTGCAGTTCAAAGTGCTTCACAGACTGATGAGCTAAAAAGAGGTTAAAGAAACAAAAAACAGGGGCTGAAACATTTGTATATCCTTCTTACCTGTAAATATTACAATATATTTCCCATAATCATGCATGGAATTCAGACACCCCTAAAGTGGACCGTACCATTTCACCTTGGAGAAAAAGTTTACCCCTTGGTTGTTGTTGTGTAATTCGCATTCTGACCTATATGAATTAAAAATGACAGAATCTTTAATATTTAAGAACATGCAGACAGGGTCCATACATTTTCTCTTTCTGTTTTTTTTTACCCCATTTTAAAAAGCTACCAAATATCTCATGAGCCCAGGTCTCACAGGCTATTTTAGAAACAGCGCTTTACTTTTCGTGCTGACCCCAGAGGCTGTGAAACTCAGATTTTACCATTCGCACGTGTGCAGGTATTCTAGTGAGCACAGTAACTCTATGACAGGAAACATGGCCGAACCATCTCACTGTGGAGGCGCGAGCTGCAGATCATGATCTGATCAGACCTGCGTAAATCTGCCTGTTGATGATGAAACTGTTCCCTGAAACTATTGAATACTGTAACTTAGGGACGTCTCATTACTACCAGCAATGTGTTATGTGAAAACAAGCACACTAATGTAGATGTAGATGCTAATTAACATGTTCATTAGCTCAGAGGAGGCCCTCATTAGTGTAACTCGTTATGTATAATTAATCATGGTTGTTATCACTGGACATTTTTCTGACTCGAGTGCATTTTGATTAAAATTCAACCAAGATCCTAATTTTAAACTCTTACCATGTGTGTGTTGCATGAACGCACACACTGCCGTTCACATGACCAGATTCAGCTTTTATTTATTTATTTTAATATCACCTAATGTTTTCGTTTCCGTCCGATCAAACAACAAAAAGCGTCTCATGATAAGTGAGACAGTAACGAGTCTTTATCTGTATACGTTTCATTCCTGTAAAAACTGTAGGTTATTTCAGATCTTAAAAAGGTGGCGTGTTATCTGTAAGACTAATAAGCTAAGAGACAAATAAGTTATTTACCTTCATTTTGGCCTGTAAAATATATTTTTGTGAAAAAAACCTGAAATCGTATACATCTTTCTGGTCACGGAAGATGTCCTGGTAAATACGAGCTGTCAAAATTACAACCAGGGTTTAATATTTATAATGTTGATCATATTTAATCATAGTTTTTCCACATTTCATTGAAAAATAACCAGATATTTTTTTTTTTAGTTTAAACTGAGCTTTAACAGCTCAGTTTAAACTAATTTTCACACAGTTATGTGTGTGGTGACCTGATTCCCTGACAAACATATTCACAAATAAACTGAGATTTCACACATTGCATGTTGCCATATTTCCAAGACTTCACCGCTGTCCCACAGAGTTCCTCCCTCACCACACAGACTAAACTCTAGAGTCTTGTTTGTTTTTTTGTCACCACACAACCACACAAAAGCAGAAGTCATTTTCATGTGCAGACACACACACACACACACACACACACACACATACATACACACACATACATAAGCAGCTGCAGAAGCTGTTAACATGAATTAGATGATGATGATGATTTCATTAATAAACTGTTCAAACAGAAGTGATCTCTTGCTGTGGAGGTAAATTTCCACAAATGTTTAATGTTGTAAACACACGCAGCACTGTTCATTTGCAAGTCTGATTTATATGGAGTGTGAACTGCCTCATATATGACACACACACACACACACACACACACACACGAATATCTGAATATCTGAAATATCTCTGTTTTTCATCTTTTCTAATGAAAAAATGTTTTAAAATAAAAAAAAACACAACTACTCTATCAACACTTTGATTATCATACAAGATTAATACACAGCGCTGAATTTAAACTGAGTGAAGTCTCACATTCACACTGGGAATATGATATGGTTGCCGTGGTAACAGTGCTCCCGCTCAGGTTAATCAAATCGTGATTGCAATCCAAAACATTATTACCGATGTATAGTCATACATTAAAACGTGTCCGGTGAGAACCGGGGGAGTCGAAACTGGACCGATGGCGAAGATAAGTAAATAAGGTAAATAAGGTCTGAAAATATCATCATCATCATCATCATCATCATCATCATCTTCAGGATGTGGCAAGAAACAACAGACAAGATAAAAACGATGCACAGGGTTGTGTTGAGAGCGTGGCTGAAAATGGGCCGTGTTCATGACTGCATCAAGATGATTGAAGAAACTGGGTTATTGATCTTTCACTTTAACCTTACCACTGGTAAACAGATATAATATATATATATAAAGATAATAAAAAAATCATTTATAGAGTCATGAACATGTGGAATAAATTTCCTGACAATGGTTCTGCTAGGCCGGTACAGCCGACAAATCAATTTGCTTTATGAGGCTGTGTTGGTATTACTTAAGATTTTCACTCATTTAATACTGGCAGACTGTTAATTAGTTTTATAATTAACAGTTTTTCGAGTCTTGTGAACATTGGGTAACAACTAATATGGATCCTTACTCAGTATTCGTCTTTGCTACGGCTCAAATATTAAAGCCAAATCACCAAATTAGACGAATTAGTCCCAAAAATCTTGAGATGCAGTTTATTACATTCTGTTTAATAAGCTCACAAAATGAGGAATCTTGAGTTTACAACTCAAAACTCATAATCAGAAGTATTTATATGTGAATTCCTGCATTTTTTAATGTGTTTTCTGAAGCTCTCTTTTTTGTCCCTGTGTGTGTTCGTCGTCAGACGGCGTCCTGGACCTCTCCACCAAGAAGACCCACAGCGCAGACAGCCTCAAAACCTTCCCCGGCTTCTCCCCTGCGTCTGGGGTCAAAGGGTAAGACAACAGGATTAGTCAAACTGGCCACAGTGAGCCGAGCGGGTGCAGTCTGCTGCGCTGAGGTTAAAGCGGTCACTGCTGCCGTGCCGCACCTCCCAGAGAGCTTTTCGTCAGTTTAAGGCTAAATGCTGTGTGGAGATTTGGCCTGAGCCGTTGATGATTCTGATCAGTTTCCAGCTGCCGAAAAATAATTCATGTAGTTTTGGTGAATAGGATTTAGATGGGGATGTAGATACTCAACCTCAGTTTCCAGGAACCTCCAACGGGTTTTATATGAGGAAGTAAGAAAAAAATATATATATATATTTTGGCAGCACTTTCTTGTGAAATACTGGGAAGCTTTACCGTGACCAGACCTCTGAGAAGAGGCTCTCTGGTTAGACTGCTTACACTTCACATACATCCCTTTAAAGAAAATAAAGGGATAGCGAGTAGAGATTTCTACACTTCAAAGGGTCACAAGTAAAGAAGTTTTATACACGTCTTTTTGTTGTGTTAAAAAAGACTGTGAAAAGAGAGTGATGTGCCTTATGCTTCTAGGGGAACAGTCAAGGTGTTGTACTGTATTTACACTGAAGCTGCAGTGTACAGTTTCAGGTGTAGTTATGGTAAGACAGCCTTGTTTTCAGGTGTTACCTAATACCAAATGTCACCAATAACGTTTGAATAGTGATTTTTCAAATGAATCGCTCTGATTTAGGGTGATAAAAGATTAGAGCTGTAAAGTGACTGTCAGGTCTGTCAACTAGTGTTCAAAATGTACGCCACTTCTGAATGTAAACATTGACTTTGAGAGCCAGTTCACATGATTGTGGATGCAGGATATTGCCTCTGTGTTAGCGGTGTCTGTGGTGCTTTCAAGTGCTGGTGGGGAACATCCAAAATTTAGGTTGCAAAACGTTGTTAAACAAAATCATTTCAACTTTGTCGCTTTTTCCTTTAAACAAGTCGTTAAAGTGTCTGATATTCTATTCAAAGCACCTGAATGCATTTCAGCACAAATCAAACAACAAATCAAATGTGCTGAACGGGAGAAGGGATGCAAACACATCAGTAAGATCCTTGAACAGTTTCATAAAAGATGCATGAAGTGAAGACGAGCAAAACAGTGAATCCGCTGCTGAGTTTCAGCTCCGCAGGGAGCGAGTTAAACCACCAAACAGATGGACACTGCACCACATCTGCAAGTGTTGTGTTCTCTTCAGATACCTCACTGAAAGATGCATGCAAATGTTTCTCTAGCCATGGATATTAGTTCATGCAGTGTGTGTGTGTGTGTGTGTGTGTGTATACAGAAAAGGTCAAGGTGCTGTCGCAGATGTTCATGTTTATCAGCCACACAGCTCTTCCTCTGTAGATACGGTGATTGTTACCCACGACAACCGTGGCCGGAGCCGTTACGTTTTTGGGGTTTTCCAGTCGTTCATTTCATTCCCACGGAAACGATATCTCTGGAACGCCTTGAGAGAATTTCTTCAGAATTGGCACAAACATTCACTTGGACTCAAGGCTGAAGTGATTAGAATTTGGTGGTCAAAGGTCAAAGGTCAAAGGTCAAGGTCAGTGTGACCTCAACAAACTCGTTTCCGGCCATAGCTCAAGAACTCGTACACTAATTGGGACTAAATTTCACACAAATGTCTATGAGGATAAAAATGATGAAGTGGTGACACTTAATATCCAGAACGTCAAAGGTGAACTTCACTGTGACATCACAAAAACACGTTTCTGGCCATTGTTAAATGTGACTCGCTGTAATTCAGGAAGGGGAGATTATGAGCATATTTCCTGCAACTTGACTGGTTGGTGGATTTAAGTTTTTCTGTTAATGAAGTTTGACTTTCTGCAGATGTTTATCCCAAACCACTGAAAGAGTGAAAATCTGTCAGCTGGGGCTCGGCAATTAATTAACCAGAAAAAGCATCAAAACCGACATTTAACATCTCTTAATCGTAATCTTGCTCATGTCGGTTAGTTCGGTTAATTAAGGTTTTATACACTTGTATGGGTTAATCACAACAGTCCGGGATATAATGAAGCCCAATCGTCAGACAATTTATATGATAAAATTGCAGAAGATATCAAACCGATAAAGGAATGATACTAACTCTGTTGAACTGGGTTTGATCTTTTCTCCTTTGTCTCCATCGTACATCTCTCTATGACTCTAATCAAATGTTGTTTAGAAAGGCTAGAAACAACCTGTTGGCAGTTGGGAGTGTTGACTTAAAGAGAATCGACTGCAGGTCTTGAAATCAACCTGCCCACAGTACGTCTTCCTACATTTTGGGGGCATGTACTTTGATCCCCCTGCCGTCAACCTCGAGTGAGTCCTGCCGATGCCTCCCACCTTTCATCTCTTATATATTGGTTTCGCTCAGCTGATCGATGCCTACACAACCATCAGTCTCATGGCAAGGTTGTACATACTTCTGTACAGGTATCTGTAAGTCAGACCCTATCCTCAGCCCCCAGAGTTCAACAGCACATGGCGGAGGTTTTGACTGCTTTTCTTTTTTTGTCTCTGTGTCAATGCCTTAATTGACAAAGCTCTGTGTTGCAGCCTGATCTTTTATTGATGAACATCTACTCTGCCTTAAAGTCATGTTTGAATCAGTAGTCATCATACTCGTTTCTTGCATCAAGGAGGGAATAAACAATCGTTAGTCGAGGCTGCCATTTCCAGGAATACTTTTGATCTGTAGGTCAAAGATGGATTAGAGGAGGTTCGATACACAGAGTAGCCCCAAACGCCCGAGTGCGGCAAGGCTGCAGTGTGGGCACGGAAAAACCTACGCCCACCATGTGGGCAGCGCCTCTTTGATCCAGCGGTGAATACACCTCCAACTGCTTTCTGAACCGAGATGTGAAAAGTGTTGCATTAACATTACAGTTAACAAGCACCTCAGAGGACCACCACATGAGTGGCTCTTCCTGGTGAGAGCTAAAGCTGCGCAGATACAAAGCTCCAAAACAGTGCTGACGACACCAGTTTTAGATTGAAACAAACAGACGGAAATTTATCAATGGAGCAACAGCTGCCATGGATTTTCAGTCATGGAGCTGGCATTTAACTGGGAGCTTTAAAGTACTGTATATTTCTGGTTTATTACACTTTACTTTTTTATTGTTTTTGCCATTGGTCATCCCTGTTGTAAAGATCCATCCATTACAGACACACAATGTCCTGGTTTCACATTGACCTGCTCGATTTGATTGAGTTTGATTGCTGGTGTTGCTACCTTGGACCTTTGTGTCGGGGTGTAGCCATGTTTCCAGATCTCGGTGTTGTAATCTCAAAAGTACTAAACTAAGACCGAAGTTGTGATAAACCTAGTGAATCATTATTCTTATCTGTTATGGCATTGAATACTCTGTATCAGTGAAGGTTTGGTAAGAGTGACAGAAGATCGGGAATCCTTAAAATTTGCAATATTTTACTGGCCAGTTAATGGAGTCAACTTGTAGACAGGCGCTTAAGAGACTGTGATTGTGTAGAAATAGCATTTTATACACACAGGCTTTCTTTTTTACCTCAACACAACATCTTAGCCGCATCCACACACTCCACGAGCGAGGGCCCCGCAGGTAAAACCTTTCGCCTGTTGAAGTATTTCCACAATCGGTGTAAAAGCTAAATTAGAAACCGTACCTTCAGCCCCCTCAGGACAAGACTCAGTCTCCCGCCTGAGGGTTCTTAAGGCCCCAAAGGACCCAAGGCCCCAAGCCTCCCTGCGAGTGTCTAATGATCAGGTCATGTAATATTTACTATAGGAGGAGGTGGAGCCTGTAGTTCCACCCCCACCAACACCAGCTCGTCTTTGACAGCCAAACAATCCCCAGAGCACACAGCGGGTTAGTGTGTGCATTACAAGTCAGTCGCCTTTGATTTAAAATTCTTTTACGTTTTCATGAAAATGTGAAAAAATATCTATAGTAATTCATAATATTATTGTTATTCAGGATGTTGGTCATGAGGTGTTTAGGAGCTGCAAACCAAAAGAAAAGAGTAGTTTTTGATGTCCTATGGTGGTGTAAATACTGACTTTACCCAAACAACAAGAATACAGTACAATCTACAGTACAAAAACACATTTTCATAAACTGAATATCAGCTCCCAGATAAAACTAAGCATCCTTCAACAGCCATTTGAGCATCAGAACACTTTGCGCTGTTGTTTGGGGAACATAGATCATACACCTAGATGCTGAGACTCTCTTTAAATCCATCTCATTGGGGATCCCCCTTCTGTTATGTGCATTTCTTTGGTCTTTTTATTTTCACAAATGCATGCTCACATTGAATCCTCAGATCCACCATTACTGTCTGGCGCAGCCTCCCCCGACGACTGGATGCTTACTGTAACAGAACACTCTATTAGCGTGTAGACTCCAAAGCCTCTCGTTAACCCTGTATTGTTTTCAATGAGCTCGAGACCGCCCACTGTGATAATCTGCCTTAAAGCTCGTGCTGAGGACTCCCCACATTGCACTGTCAGCTGCACTGTAGCTCACCATGTGTCTCCGAAAGAGAGAGATACCGCATTTCCCTCAAGTTTCTTCTCCTCCTTTGCTGTCCACTGACTTGACAGACAGGCTATTTCCTGTTATTATGAACCTAAGGGAACATTTTCTTAAAGAGCCTTTCCACTGTTGCTATAGTTACTTAGCAGTAGGAGCACTGGCTGCAGCAGTTCAAGTGGAGGCACTTTGCATGTAAGTGTATGTTTCAGCGGCAGAGATGGTTTTCAGAAATTTGAGACATTGAAATGCAAGGTGCTTGCAGACCAGCGCTTGTTGCCATGAAGACGCATTACATGTTCTAATTTCATCTCAATACACCTTTATTCATCTGACATGGGGCAACTTAGAAAACTCAATTAAAAAATATAAACAATAAATAAACATAGGAATCACAAAGCATGGGACAGGTTAATGCAGGCTTCTCAGGTTTTTGGCTTGTGACCTTTTAAAGTGAATTATTATTATTAGAGGGCTATTTACAGGGGGCCATTTAAAGCCCACAGGGTTGCCAACTTGGCTTATTTGATGCAAGGTTTTTTCTTTTCAAAAAAGCAACGAGCAACAAATCGAGTGGCATTTTTGACAAGCATTGGCTACTTATCAGAGAGCTGCCGGTACGACGACTCTCTACTCTTGTGGCAGAGACAGAGTGATCATTTTATAAGTAAATGCAGCCGTAATGACAGCACAATCTTTGACTTTAGAGATGCTGCTGCTTTTGAGTTCCTCATATGCAATTCATTTGTTGTTTTGCTTTGTTGCTAGTGATTTTGGTGAACTCTGATTGGACTAATGATTAAGCAAAGGTCCTTTTTTGCCACCATAGCTACGATGGTAGAAAGTTCAATTATTATTCATTTAATTCTCAACAGCACCCTGGTCTCTGTCACTGAAATAAATCCTCTTTTCTTTTTTTTTTTCTCCATCCAGACATTCACTGAAAGTGGAGCATACCCTGCCGGAGGTGGATGAGGAGGATGGCCTGCTGCAGAGAAGCTTGCAGGACGGACTAAGGGAGAACTATGTCAGCTCCAACTCCTTCAAGCCCCCATTGGCCCGCTCGCTGCGTATCAAGGAGGAGCTCCTCAGCCAGAAGCACCGCCTCCTGAGCCAACCTGCTGCTCTTTCATTGGCTAATCTAGAGTCAGCCGGCTTGCTCAATCATGGGCAGTCCCACTCCTTGCTTGGCCAGAAGGGCTCTTCCTCTTTCTGGGGAAGCAAGGCCCACCTGGAGAGCCTGATGAAGCTAAAACAGGCCAGTGGAGCTCTGAGTGGGGCCCTCAGTGACCTCAAAGACCTGCCTGCATTCCTGGAGAATCACCACCACAACCACCACGGAGCCTTCTCCATCAAGAGTTCCCTCCACCATCACCACAATCAGGTCTCCAAGGCCCAACACCACCACAATGAGGGCAAGAGAGACCAGGGCCACTCACCTCCTGTCGACCTGAAGATCCCGCAAGTTAGGGGCATGGATCTCTCCTGGGACTCACATGCCTCTGAGCTGTACAGCTTTGGCACCATGGGGGTCGGGGGTGGTGGCCACGGGGACAACACCTTGAGCCGGAAGCTGAGAGCCATCCTGCCTAAGCAGAACCGCCGGGGAGGAAGTCTTGGAAGCCTGCTGGATGGGGCATCTGACTACTGGAGCTCTGAATTGGAGCACTCCATTTCTGGGCCAGCGTACTCCACCTCCGACGTGGAAGGGGACCCGAACTCCAAGCAGCCGAGGAAGAAGCGCGGCCGTTATCGCCAGTACAACAGCGAGATCCTGGAGGAGGCCATAGCAGTAGTGATGAGCGGGAAGATGAGCGTGTCCAAGGCTCAGAACATGTACGGCATCCCGCACAGCACCCTGGAGTACAAGGTCAAAGAGCGCATGGGAACCCTGAAGAACCCCCCAAAGAAGAAGCTCAAGCTGATGATGAAGATGGAAGCAGGAGGCCAGGATTTTCCCACCGAGTCGGAGAACACGCCCACCTCAACCCCGCGAGATGACGGCCCGCCGCTGGCAGCTGCAGAGCTCAAGGACAATGTAAAAGAAGAGATTGATGACAATTTCAAACCAATCGACTAAACGACTTACACATGTAAACCTCAGTCAAATGACTTAAGTAATTTGAAAACGGATGGGGCTTTATTTGTGCCAATTTACTTTGCAGTATCTGGGTGAGCACAAACGCAGGGATAAATATGAGAAGGATTCTTAAACTGGAGAGAAACAACTAATCGGACGGTTTTTAACAAGCGTCTCTTGAGTGACGCCGTACAAGCATTTGTTTAGCTTTTATATCCAGGGGCTTAACAAATGCAGATAAAGACATTAGTTAAATGACAATTGATGAAATTTCCTTAAGCATGCTGATAATCCCTTGCCCAAAAACCCAATCGCCCCTTTTTCTGAACTTGATACACTGAACCACTTCTGCTTATAAATGCAGTTCGGGCTTTGGACCATTCCAATTTGGGGAGAAAATGAGGGGAAGGTTGAAAATTAACTCCTTAAAAAAAAAAAAAAACTCACAAATTAGTCCCTTTATCGCTCCCCTCTCTCATGGATTACTAGCTGAAAAAATTGGTAAGTGAACTGTCTATTACATTTGAACTGTAAGGTTTAATCATTACCATTGATATTCATCACCAGGGTTCCAAATCAAAACCCCATTCTCTTATTGCCAGGTAGCCATGACGCTTTAACTACAAACCTTTTCTTTCCTCCTTAAGATATTCTGCTAATCTCTGTGCGGATGAAAGCAACATTAACCTGTCCTTTTTGAACGAGAAAAAGACACACAAAAGTCATTCAGGGATGCATGTTTGTGAGTTTCGTGGACACTACTGACTTCTATAATTGACTTCTTTTCTTCTATCTTTTCGTTTGATTTATTTTTTGCTTTCTTTTGCACTACACTTTGGGTCTAGCGCTTACAGACCAGGTTACCTCGGCATTGTTGCCCTTGCATCATGCACTTATTATGGTCTGTCTCTGAAGCCCATTCGCAACCTCTCAGTGGGTCAGAGGGTGCACGTCGCCTGCATATGCTGATCCATAATCAGATCTGGGAGGCTCTTTAACCCTCTTTTTTGCCAATGGACAAGTTGAGGGGTAATCTGATGATGGATCAGCTGTTTTTAAGGTGGAATGCTACCTCATGGACCTCCGTCAGTGTCTCACTGCTGATCCTGGAATGCCAGAAACGCCTTCAGGTTGCCCTCCAAACGGCAACTGAAGCGAGCTCATCCCCTCATGGAGATCTTTTGCCTGATGAAGGCCTTTTAGGATCAGAATGTGAAACTCTGCTGCTATCCATTATGATTATCTAGCTCCTATACAAGGCTTTAGCTAGCCTAAGCTAATGAGTTTTAGCTAGTCTTCACTAACAACAATACATTTCTGATGTTTTTCTCTTTTTTTCTTTTTTTTTTTTTTTTCCTTTTCTAATCAAACTAAGCAGAAGCAGCTTAGCTGATGAGTTTCAAAAGAAATTCTTCTCCCTCAGACGTCAAAGACAGTTTTAGAGGCAGTTTACTACAACAATGTGCATTTATAGAGGGGTGTTCATTCAGGGTGGTGGGTGGGCAATATGCAGTGGGGAGGGGTAGTAGATAGGGGTGAGGGAAAGGCAGATTTTAATATATTATAAGTTATTATGACTGATTATGTAAAAGCCAATCCGTGATTCTGGGTTATTTCCTTTTCTCCTCATTTTAAACTCAGGGTAACTGAGACAGATGATGTGGGTTTCAAATATGGCGATTTCCTCTTGGACCTATAGTTGACAGACAGGAGGACAACACACATCTCCTCACTAAATGTTTTGCTAATGGATGGGCCATGTGAGTAAAAAATACAGCAGCGCCGTGGCAAATAGACCCGCTAATCAATCATGGAAAAACAACAGAAAACACTGACGTTGGGGTTTCGGGGGGGGATCGAACTTGTGGCGCTGAACTTCTAAAATAGCACTTTTTCGAAAACAAAAGAGAAAAAAAAGCAAGATAGAGAGAGAGAGAGAGAGAAATCTGTTTGAGGTTATGCATGTGGTGTAGATCTTCTCTGAGGGATATGGAGCAGGAAACAATGAGGAGGGCAGAGAGATGGAAGAAAAAAGCTTTAGTGTGTAAAGACTTTCAGAAAGCTGCAGCTTGGACCCAAACTACTCTTTTTTTTTTTCTTTTTTTTTTCCTCTCAATTACCTCCACAGATTAAAAAAAAAAAGAAAAAAGAAAAAGTCAACAGCTTGAACAAGTTCAGTTTCTGTGTAGTGTCGTCTTGTCGGTTTCCCTCCCCTCGTCGCTGAAGCGCCAGGGATAGAAAAACTTATCATCACGGTTTTTGGGTTTTTTTTTTTTTTGCCAGACGGGGAAAGAAAATCCCTCAGAGGACACAGGTGAAAAGAGAAGAAGAAAAACAAAACAAAAAAGAAAAAAAAAAAAGAGTTTTCTATCAGGAAAGGATTGAAGGAGATGACAAAGCTTTTGGTTGTCATGTTTTTCTGCTCTGTGGTAAATGTTGCTCTTCGCTCCTGACACTGCCTGGTGCTCACCCAGTCTGTGAGATTTTTAACATGAGAATTGTACCTCTCTGTTCAGATTGAAATGATGATGATTCACTCCTTTTGAAATGTATTGTATATTTTATTTATTTGATTTTTTTTTTTTTTTTTTTTTTGTTTATTCTCCTTAAAAAAAAAAAAATGGCATGCACCACGTTAATGGCTGATTTTTGATTTTGTCAGTCCAATTGAATAAATGAAGTTGAGAGGATTTCAACTCAATATAAATCCTGAGCCAGAGACGCTCGAATCGTTGAGAATTAGACTCATTGACTACCTGTTGCATACAATCTTTATTTCCCCCCCTCGTTGTAGCTCCATTGGCTTGATTGGCAGGTATGCATGGCCAATGGGAAAAGCTTTAGAAAAGACCCCCTGGAACAACAATACTGCCAGGGGTCGTCATGCATTAAATGCGACTAACACTTTGACAATGCTGAGCATTTGAAGTGTCTAAAGGGTTTTTGTGTGCGTTGAGTCGGACCCAGCGAAGGACAATGCACTGATCTGATAGTTAAAACAGGATCAAAGCCCCAGTGTTGATACTAAAGCACTTCTCATGAACACGCCTCTTATAAAAAGGCATGATAGCTGCTCCACTTAGCCAGCTGTGAATATCAGTTTGACATAAACGTGACTTTCTCGCAGACAGAACAAACCAACCATGGCAATCTGCCTGTTTGCCTGTGTCATGTAATGCATGTAAAGCATGGATTTCCCTGTGTAGAAATATAATGCAATTGGAACTTAATGCACAGGTTTGCATGGATAAACTCCAACAGCACTTAGGCTGGATTCCCCTGATGGGCAATTCCTCGAGGGCCAAACGATCTCTGTGTATAATTCACACCAATCCTTAAATCATTTACAAACATTTTCTCTGTCCTTCCATAAAGTCTTGACCCTGACTGCACATTTGGCTATAAATTTCTCACTGCTTTCTAAAAATATGAGTGATTTTAAAATTATTTTAAAAAGTCCCATTTTCAGCCTGATCTTATCTACTGAGGTGCATGCCATTTAAGGTTTATTTATTTCATTCCATTTGTTTCTTTCTTGGGTTCTACTGATTGTTTATAGTCATGTGGTTAACAGCTCCCCCTGTCCAAAAAGTCCTCCTTCTTACAACTGAGTCTCACTGCAGTTTTTAAAGAAACCTCATACTATATTATATAATTAAGAGAGCAGTATATATCTATTTATATATATATATATTAACAGATACTCACATGGTAAATGTAGTAATGAACTGAAATGATTATCTTAAACTTACAAAACCACAACACCACAACAGTGATCTGCAAAAAAAACCAAGATGGCACTGTCAGTTCATTTTCAACAGACTGTTGTTTTTATCCTTTTACGTTTATTTTCACTTTACGCTGCTTGCGCTGGAGACGCAGTTGTTTCCTGACGCGGGCGTGCGGCAGTAGCCTTCAGTACTGTAAATGTCTCAGGATCGAGCCAATGGGATGGGCAGCAATATTTGTCAGTCGGAAAAATGGCGCAGACTTAACTACCTGAACTAAATGTAATTTATAGACGTATACATATATATATATATGTGTATATATATATATATATATATATATATATATATAAACTATATGTCAGTTTGGTAAGCAGAGACAAAGCGCTATAC